TCCTTTCTCAGTAGAACTCACTGGCTGGACAGACTGTTGTGCATTTCAATCTCCTGTCTTTGTGTCTGCAGCTTGTAACTGGGACTGTGTAATTAATTCCCAGTGTTTTAGGTGCATGTGCAGTCTTCAGAAAGCAATGGGATCTGGCTATGATCTACCAACAGGACCTAATGTGAATGGGTTATTTCTTTTGTCTGGTAGCATAAATAGGACAATACATAGGTTGTACATTCCACATTCATTTACTATGACAACATACAGCTTTCCTTGTTTTACTCTTCATATTAATAAAACATATCCAGGGGTAGCTATGTTGGCCATATATCAAAGTACAATAACATCCAGAATCCACAAAACAGTGATATCATTAATGTGCCACCAAAAATGCACAAAATACATGTTGCAAGCTTTCAAAGTTCCACTGGCCTTTTCATCAGGGAAATGTGTTAAAATTAAGAAGAAACACCACCATCACCACAACATCTTGACAAATGCAGGACTGTGACTAACAAGTCACATTTTTTTTTTCTCCTGTATGATTTTAATACCTTTGCCAGATGAAGAAGCCAGTGCAGCTCCAAAAGCTTGCAACATGTATTTGTGCATTTTGGTTAGCACAATAAAGATACCATTATTTTGTGGATTTTGGATGTTATTACACTTCCTCATTTTAATGTTTCTCCCCATATTGCTTGAAAATGATTGTACCTATATGTCATCATGATATTTTGTGATAACGATCAAATGACAAATATTTTAATAATAAAATATTCTCATAGTTTTTGTATTTCACTGTCTCAAAAGCAAATTTAGTTCCAAACCAGAAAAACAACAACATAGAAAGGCAGAATAATGGGGTGGTGTTGCTCACATATATGTTGCTGTAATAGTGTGCACTCTATCTGCTTGTCCATCATTACTTGTTTATTTTGAATTTATGATATTTCTACCAGAGTCTTAAAGTTTTCAAGGACAGTAATAATCAATGTTACGAGACAGATGGTCAGATATACACTTCTCTGCAGACCTTGGGAAAGTTACTTTCTGGGCTACATCTCCCAGTTAACATGGTGAGTGGTCATGCTGGAATTTCAAACAGAAGTTGAGAATGGTACTTCTCAGAAGACTATCTAGATGCAGAAGAAATTGTCTAGTGTAGCTTTCTTTGCTAAAACAGCTGCCAGATCTGATGATACACTGTCAAATTACTTGTCAATTGTCAAGATGGTATTGATGTGTACTTCAAAAATTTCAAGAATTAGAATGTGATGCATTCAGGGTATTTGGTGGCTCTTCATTTGTGGAATTCACTTCCAAGGCTTATGTGGATATGTCTATTATCGGTTTTTAACAAAGCAGAAGACTTTATTTTCACTGGCATTTTATCAATTTCTGTCATGGGGATTCATAATAATATTCATTTTAGAGGTATTTATGAATATATTTTAAGAATGATGCTTTTTGTAGTTGCACTTGTAGCTGTAGTTTCTTTGTATTATTATGCTTTGCTTATTGTTCTCCCACCATCTCATGAGGATGTTAAGTATTAAATAGCAATTTAGAAATCTACTAATAAATATGTACACAAGAAAATGGACTGACATTTTGAAATAGCCGTATGACTAGTTAGTTCTGCTCTATTTTTATTTATTTATTTATTTTTAAGAAAAATGTCATGCTGGAGATGTGAATTGGCCTTTGCATTTATTTTATTTGGAACATACCCATCTTCATATGTATGTAGTAGCATCACTGAGGGTGTGTAGACCACACCGGGTGACACTCCAGGGTGTGTGTGTGTGACACCAAAGAAGAGGGGGTGGCAGCTGGTCACACCCCCACACACACCCCCACACCCCCACAGGGGTCTCCTCGCCTGAGCGCGGCGGGTGGCTGTTTCCCCAGCTGTGCATCTGCTTTCCATGTGCTTTGGGGGAGGGTCCTCTGGCCCAGGTGACCATTTATGTGGCTGCACACATGCACTCCAGCAGGCTCCATGCTTTAGCTTGCCCCCGGAGAAAAGCCAGGCCGAAACAGGGAGCTGGCTGGAGAGCGGCACCACCTTCTCACAGAAGCCTTGCCCCTTCTGCTTTTGGGGCTCCGCTCCCCCTCACACACCGGATGACACCAATAGTAAGTACACAATAGTAAGTGTGTGTGTTTATGTATATCTGTATGGCCAAATAGCATGAAAAAATGAGGACCTTCCAGTTGTTAGGTTTGACCTGATCAAGTATGGGAACCATGAATGGAAAAAAAAATAAGTAGCACTAAATCAGTCAAAAACGTAGTTTCAAACAAATCAGGATAATCAGTATCAAGTAAAGCAGGAGTTGGCAAAGTGCAGCCTGAGAACTCATGGGGGCCTCTAGGTCTATTTTTGTGCCCCTCTAAATTTTGTGCCAAATTACAAAAAATTGTTTTGCTCCCAAATGCCCTCTAAAGGTTGGAGGTATTTTTGCAACTTTTTGTGTGTGTGTGTGTGTGTGTGTGTGTGTGTGTGTGGAGAACAATCCCCCCTTGGGCCTGAAATGGCTCAGGGGATCCCTAAAAGCCGAGCAAAAATTCCCCCACAGCCCTTAGAAGTACAACCTTCCTCCCTAAAAATATTGTAATTTTATGGTGGTGGGTGTGATTGTGAGTACCCCCTCCCCCCCGGTCTCCTAGTAGGCTAATGCAGCCCCCTCAACTCCCATAGTTTTCTACTCCTGCAGTAAGGTGAAACTTATATCTTTTCTCCAATCTGGCTTTAACTGAAGAATTAATTTAATAATTAAGAACAACAAACAGCAGGATGATTACAAAATACAGACTTCACACACCACCACAAAATTATGAATATTCCTGTCTTTCTATTTTATTTCTATAAAGCTCTATGTATCCTGAGGTCTCAGATTTGATATTTTACTCCAGTGGAGAGCCAGTGTGATATAGTGACTTGAGCACTGGATATTGGAGTTTATCACATGGGAGGCACAGCGCCTCCTCCCATTATCAAATCGAATTTAAATAATCACAATTGTGCAATCAGGATTCATACCCCCACACTTTTCTCCCATCCTTCTCCCGTGTTTAAATCATAATGGAGCCATCCCCACACACTTGTCCCATCAGAAAAGTGTAATGGAGCTGCCATTTGGTAATAACAGACGTACCCATTATTACCGAATGGCAGTTCCATTATGCTTTTCTGACAGGACAAGCACATGGGGATTGCTCTATTACGATTTAAACACGGGAGAAGGATAGGAGAAAAGTGTGGCGGTGTGAACCCTGATCATGCAAATTACAGTGATTTAAATTTGATTTAATAATGGAAAGTTATTAGTTCTACCAAATAGGAAAGTTATTAGTTCTACCTAAATCATTAAAAATAAAAGCAATTCATTTGTGCAGAGTGTTATTTTCCAATCTGCACAACAAAAATAGAATTGTGAAATTTTTGAAGTGGAATAAAATGTTAATGAAGATTAAACATTTTTGCTGTTAAGAATTTACTCCTAAGGGGGAAGGAATGGAAACAATAGCAACAATTCAGTAACTATACAGTTTAAGTCTCAAAGAAATCAAAAATAGGATGGGATGCATCACATACCCACTTAGGATGTTGAGCCTGTCTGCAACTATGCTGATCTAGGCTTCATCCTAGCACTTCCTGGCCTCAAATTTGGATGATCGCTGTGTTGAGGATATTAGCTGCAGTTTTGTCACCCCTAGTTGGTGCTTTTTATTCACAGTTCTTTTTAGTGTTTTTCCTATGGCTGATTTCCGTTCTCCTTCCAAACAGACCCCCCCCCCCTCCAACACACATAAATTCTTCTCAGAATTTCCTCTGGAAGCTCTTAGATATAAAAAGCCTGCAGACTGTAGGGGGCAATAATTCACAGATATATACAACTACAGTATTCATTCTATCTCGGTACAGCTGTACACTTGATATGTACTCTGGATTTAAGAAGATTGTTACCGAAATCTAAATCAAGACTGCACAAAGGTACACCAGGGCTTAAAAGAGTTATGGATGTAAATGCCCAAACTGATATTGAGACACTTGCAAACACCAGGTTGCTGAAACAATTGGCCCAAAATAAAGAATATTTTCAAATAGAAAAATATCTGATAGTGGGCTTGACCCAATCCCATAGAACAGCTTTAACAAGAGTAAGATTTGAGCAGATAGATTCCATGGTTAAATATGGATGATTCCACCATACTACAAGAGAACATGTGTCTGTGGAGCATCTGAAATAGAAGATATTGAGCATGTCCTATTTAACTGCCAATTATATGTCACAGTAAGGGCCCAGTAACTACATACAACAATACTTGATAGAATTACATGTTAAGGAAAATGCAACATGGGACATACAGTGATAGAAATAAA